CTAGCTTCCAAATGTCTGTTCTCTCAAATGAAAAGGAGAGATAGTGAATGGATTGTTTATCTCAGTTAACTTAAAGGAGATCTATTTAAAATGCTCAGGACAAAGCAGGGCACATAGTAAGCAGATAAGTGTTAGCTAGAAACAGTGACTTCTGACCAAACCCCACTGTTGGCTTTCCCTCCGGGGGTATAAACTTACTCTTTATTTCTTTGTATCTAGGTAGGACCAAATTAAACATTAAGGGATATTTTGTCTTTAATGTTATGAGTATGTAGTATGTTTATATGTGTATGTATCTGTCATATTTTTCTTATGGGTTTTGGTGGAACAGAGTTGTTTTTTTCCTGTATGTCTTGTTTAGATCTTTGCCTCATTTAGAGTTGTTTCCTCTGATCGTTGGTATAGGCCGCGGTATTGCTTGTAGCCATCACTGCCATCTGCCAACATTTCAGTCTTAGAAATCTGACCGCTAGCACCCATCACTCTTACATTCTGTTGATTTGCTAAACCTAGTTTTTTTAGCTTTCCAATTCTGGACCTTTCCAAAATTTTGATTTCAGTTCAGTTTTGTATCTCATGAGATCAGTGCTAGGTAACCTCTACTCTTGCTTAACAGAACATTGTTTTTTTAGTTATCCCATTTTTTATTATATTTTAAATTTTAAAATGTCATGTTTCATAAAGTTTTACTAAATAAAACCAGTGTAACATAAGTTATTTTCTTATTGTTAGAGTATATGCACAGTAATGTTATACCAGAAGATGGTGCTGTAAGATTATCTGCTAAGAAATAATATAACTTCTCAATAACTGCATTTGAAATTTGTAGAATTATAAGAAATTTAGTATTGCAAATTTACCATACAGTTAATTTAAGATACACCATTTGATTTTAAAAAAATTTGAAACACAGCTATATAGTTTGAGTACACTATTGTTTTTTGCTGATCTTGTACTTATTTAAATGCCATTCTTAAGTACTTTAATGGTTTCTCCTGTCCCTCTTTTCTTTTTGTGTGAGGCATGTTCTAAGTCAACTAGAGATGTAGATTATAGGTGAATAGATTATAGGTTATAATTTTAAGCTCTCAAACTTTTTTTCTTCTGCACATTGATGACTTTGTGAACAAAAATAAGAGAGGTTGGTTAGATATTAATTCAGTAGGTGCAGTTTATTTCACACCTACTATTTCTGCCTGTTACAAACAGTCCTGTTCTTGCTTTGTTAACACACTCGTGTTTGCTTTGTTTTTAGATATTGTTGTTACATTTATAATTGTTGAGATTGTTCTATAAAATTTTTGATTTTTTAAAATTCCTTTTCTCGTATACCTTTATTCTTGATTATTTACTTGTATATATCTGTAGTAAACATTGCCTTGGTTTTTCCTACTAATTCTACTCTACAATACCTGGCACAGATCTAAATTTTAAATCTTTAGCAATCTAACTGAGTTATTTGTGTATCACCTTCTAAACTTTTTCATATAGATCTATGAATGTTGCCCCAAGGTTCTCATCACACAAAAAGCCACCAGACTACCTATTAGATAAAGGTCAGACTTATTGTAAGTTCTTAATTTGCTTTGCTGTCACCCAGCACCTACCATTCATGGCTGTAAAATACAACTTGAGGTATTTAGTTACATATATGAAAAAGTTATAATAGTAAAAATTCTACTTTTTTGTTCTTTGTAGCTCATAGTGCTTGATAGACAATAAACTTAGTTAAGCTGTTACTTTGTATTTTGTGTTATGATTATGATTGTAATGCTGAAGTGTTGTCTCTTAAAAAAATTTACTAAAGTGTTTCTCAACTTTTTTCTATTTATTAGAGAAAAACTAAAGAATATAAATTATGCATCTTGGGAATCCTTTCCTTGTATGTTTACTGTATTACTTTGTGAAACATTTCTTTGTTTCTTCACCTCCTGAGGGCAAGATGTGTCTGTTATATAGCTTTATCTTAAGAATATTTAGCATGGTGACTGACATAAAGTCAGTAGATTATTCCTGGCAAAGCACAGATGAAGGTTTTAGAAACTAGGTCATTGCTGAATTATTGAAAATACTAGAAAAGAGAACACCTGCTGTGAGGTAGACACATTGTTCTTGCATGTTTGTAACGAGATAAATCTGATAGAGGACTTTCATTGTGTGAACGGATACAGCTTATGAGGGTAGAATAGTATCAGTGAACTTTGTTTGAGACAGAGTCTCACTATGTTGTTCCTCAGTGGAGTGCCATGACATCACAACTCACAGCAACCTCAGACCCTTGGGCTTAAGTGATTCTCTTGCCTTAGCTTCCCATGTAGCTGGGACTACAGGTGCCTACTACAACACCTGACTATTTTTTGTTGTTGTCCTTGTGGTTGTCGTTGTTGTTTAGCAGGCCCGGGTTGGGTTCGAATCCGCCAGCCCTGGTGTATATAGCTGGAGCCCTTAACCACTGAACTTTGGGCACTGAGCCAATCAGCGAATATCTTGCCGAAAGGGATAGAGTTTTTCAAGGTGGAGTAACTAGTATTTAGGAATTGATGAGTTCTCAGTTTCTAGCATTGTTGGAACATGTGAATAGTCATCTGTTAATTTTATATTTAAGTATAGGATGGGCTGATGATGGTAATGGATGTATTATTTTCAAAAGCATACATAATTCTAAAATGAAACCAATTGATTTTAATATTGTATTAAAATTATGTAATACATAATACATTTGAGTAGTAGGTTTGCTAAAATTAGTAAGTTAGAACTATATTCTTCTGTTTTAAAAATTAGAAAAACTAAAACTAGGGCGGCGCCTGTGGCTAAGTGGGCAGGGCCCCGGCCCCTTATACGGAGGGTGGCGGGTTCAAACCCAGTCCTAGCCAAACTGCAACAAAAAAAATATCTGGGGGTTGTAGTGGGTGCCTGTAGTCCCAGCTACTCAGGAGGCTGAGGCAAGGGAATTGCCCGAGCCCAGAAGTTGGAGGTTGCTGTGAGCTGTGTGATGCCACAGCATTCTGTGGGTGATAAAGTAAAACTCTGTCTCTACAAAAAAAAAAAAAAAAAAAAAATTTAAAAAAACTAAATTCTGCTTATATAATTTAAAAAATTTGTTGTATGTAAAGTAAAAAGACAAGGACCCCATTACACAGAGTCTTCATAGTTTCATGCCTTTGCTTAAAATGATACTACAAACTTTGCTGTGCATTCTTTGGATCTTTAAAAAAGTATATTTTGAAACAAGTGTAGGTGAACATTAGCACATATAGGATCCTTTTACACATTTTCAGCTTGCTTTTTCACATAGTGAATATGTAATTGGTTGATTTCTGTGTCAGTACACATATTCACATTTTTAATCTGAAGAATGAATAATTTTGTTGTTTGTGTGTAGACCTAGGATGAATGTGTAGTTGTTTGGCTCAAAAATACATCATTATCTTTTAATTGATATTTTCCTAACTCTACGACCAGTGTGGTTAAAAATGTGTGTGTGTGTGTGTGTGTGTATATACATATATATAATGTATATAATTTATATAATTTTTAGCCATTTTCTACCTTTTGTGAATAGCTGATTGTCCATATCCTTTGCCCATTTCTTTGTTGTTTTCTGTTTCCTATTGACCTGAACACCTTTTATAGATAATGCTTTTTTATTAAACTCATTTCTCATGGTTTTCCATTTGTTGTCTCGGGTATTGGTTATATCATCTGCAGATTATACTAGTGTTATTGCTTCTTGTCCGGTAATTTTCTAATAAGACTTTTTCCTTTAAGTTGTGAATGCTTTTCTCTTTTGATTTTTTTCATAAGGTTGCACTGAATGCTATTAATTTTATCTTTCATTGATTTTCTTTGAATAGATATATATATAATCGATTACATATTACAAGAAATGTATTATTTATGATGGTTTTTAAAATTTAAATATATATATCTGTGTCTTTATATGTATTTGCATACATAGAATCAAGTGAAGACCTGAGCATGGCGCCGTGCACGGGCTCTGCCAGTCCTGCCTATTGAATGAGCTGCTGGTCTGCTGCTCTTGGACAGCACATATTTTTCTTTTCAAATCCAAAGAGTATTTAGTTAACGTGTACAATGACTTATTTCAAAGAGTTATCTTTTCAATAACGTATTATACTATTTCCTTAAAGAAAATGTATTTCAGTCATTTTCCAGATTTAAAAACAAATTGCTAGTTATTTTATAATTACTGTGTTTGCTGCATTCTAGGAAATTTTGCACATGGATAATATAATTCTGGCAGGTCAATTTAGTTGAAATATATGGATTTTTCCCCATGAATTCTGGCTTTCTCTTTTTTTAATATATCATGAACTTATTGTAGATCAGAGAATAACTTATAATAATGTTTTTCCAACTATTTATGAAGAAGGATCAATGTTCTAATTTTTTTCCAATGTGTTATGAGTCAGAACTTTTGTAAGATATAAATGGGTTACTAAAAACATAATTACATTAAGTAGACGTAAAATTATTATATTAACTTGCTATAGAAGTTTCTAAATCTTTTTATTTCTGTGCTTAATCTTATTGGATACATAGAAAAAAACAGATTGGTGCACTTTGTGAACTGTACTATAAGAAATACTAGTTTAAAAGAGCCAAATAGGTTTTAAAAGGTTTTGTGCTCATTTCCACCTGTTTTCACCCCAGATTCTCGGGATTCAGAGCCTTCTCTCAACTCAGTTCTTTTCTTCAGTATTTAACTTTTGTTTTAACAAGTTAATAGTATGTCCTGGTAGACTAAAAAGATACTTGATGAAATTCAGTATCTATTATTTATTTTTTAAAAAACATGAAATATAAATTGATAGATTATAAATATAACATGTTTTTCTCAATTCAGAAGGCAGAATTGTACCTAATGGGCCAACAGTAGAGCTTTCCAGTTAAAATGAAATTGAGGATATCTGTTACCATAACAATTAAGTAATATTTTATTAGTGGTTCTCAGCATAGAAGAATAGCAATCCCCATGTTAGACATGAAAGAAACAATACGTATAAAAATTAGATAAGACATAAAATTATCATTTGCAATTGACATGTCTCTATGCCTGAAAATCCAAAAGAACATATTAAAAACTTACTATAAACATTTAAGTATATATGGTTAATTTGGCTGTGTTGAAAATGAAAACATAGAAATTACTACCTAATGAGAGACAAGCCATTTTCTGTGCTGGCTGACCCCCAGGGCATAGTATGGCATCCTGCTGAAAACAGTGTTGATATGCAGATTTCCCAGTTAATTGATGCCCCACCCAAATAGAGTACTATTTGTGCTAGAAGTGTTGTAACTTAGAATGGGTAGGTGGCCTAGCATGGTGGCTCACACCTGTAATCCTAGCACTCTGGGAGACTGATGGGGGATGGATTGCTTGAGTTCAGCACTCTGTAATCCTAGCACTTTGGGAGACTGATGGGGGTGGATTGCTTGAGTTGGAGACTAGCCTGAGCTGGGAAATTTGCATATCAATGAGACTTGTCTCCATTAAAAATAGAAAAGTTATCCAGGTGTTTGGGTGTAGTCTCAGCTATGCAGGAGCGCAGGATGCTGAGGCAAGAGGATTGCTTAAGCCCAGGAGTTTGAGGTTGCTGAAAGGTTTGATGCCAAGGGATTCTACTGAGGATGACAAGTGTGACTCTGTTTCAAAGAAAATAAATTAAAATGGAGAAAAAAAAAAGAATGGGTTGCGTGAACCTGTCCCTTTCTCAGCTCTTCTGTAGTAAGAGGGGGATTCAGAGACTAGGGTTCCTTTCCTGGCATATAGCCTTTTTGCCCATAACTGACTTTGTGTATCTTTCAAGGTACCTTTTATTGATTTTTGTTTTTTCAAGACAGAGTCTCACTCTGTTGCCCTGGTAGTGTGCCATGACATCATGTCATAGCTCACAGCAACTCAAACTCTTGGGCTGAAGAACTCTTGCCTCAGTCTCTCAAGTAGCTGAGACTATAGGCGCCTGCCACAATGCCAGCCTAGTTTTTCTATTTTTAGTAGAGATGGGAGGTCTCACTTTTGCTCAGGCTGTTCTCCTTAGCTCAGGCATCTACCAGGTTTGGACTCCCGCAGTGTTAGGATTACAGGTCCTACAGCTGTGAGCCACTGCTTCCAGCCCAAGGTGCCTCTTTATAGAGTTCTTCATTTGAGTTTTCCAATATGCAAATAGTAAACTTTCAGAAGATAAAATGGAAGATAGAAATTCGGCAGAAATATATATAAAGTCTTTAAATGCTAACAAGAAGACAATGGACACTTAAATAGAATGATATCTATGTTTTTGAATAAGAAAATTCATCATTAAAAGGCTAGTTCTCTCAGAATTGTATGCTACAAGTGGATATAAAGTCAATAAATTTCTACTTGTTTCTTATCTTCCCCTCTTCCCTTTACAACCTGATTTTTATCAAGTGCATTGTTTTTTAGTGTTTAACTTAGTTTTGTGTATATTTTTTTACTTGATGTATCAATTTCAGATGATCTCTTTGAACTTCCAGTTATAAAAAATAAGCAGATCTGTCTGAGAATAATGGTGAGCGTTATTATTATCAAACAAATATTAATAGCTAATACTGAATATTCATAATGTGCCAGGCACTATTCTAAGCACTTTTTATTTATATATTAACAGTTTTAATCCTCAACAATTCTGCCCTGGACACAGATGTAAATAACACAGACACTCAGACTAACTGCATTTTAAGATGAAGACACAGTTGTAATTAATTTGTTGCCAATTTTTGCTTTTGTTTTTCCTTCCTGAACTTTTATTAGTTTTATCACTGCTACATGCAGCTACAGGTCCTTTCTTTGTTATCTTCCTCTCTTCCACTGCATAGCCCTTCTCACATTTAGTGTCGTAACTCTCTCTTGGTTTTGTAAGAGAAGGAGTCTGCATTTCTCATTGTGGTTCTCTAACCATTGCTAAGGGAAGAATGAGGAAGTATCTTGCTGCCATTTTAAACCTGGAAATCTGAGGATCTTTTTAATGTTTTTATTGACAGAATGATATGACAAGTGTCCGACTACGATGGGGAGATATACTTATGCCATTGCTTAAAAAGTACAAACTAAACATCACATGGGGTGACCAAGATCTGTTGAATATCATATTTTTTCATAATCCAGGTAATTATTTGAATTCCTTTTATTTTCATTTATAAAAATAATCACAGATAATTAGTTTAAAAGGAAAAATGAATTTATTTGGTTTTGGCTTTTATTGATGGCTATCACTATGTATAAGACAGTAAAACTTTTCTTCAATATTGATTGAGCTGGGAGATATCTAAATGCCAGATGTATTTCTTACTGTTCTAAGTCTTATCCTCAAAAGCTGTATATTTTAAAGTTTTGCAAAATGTTACTTTTATAGAATTAGGTGTATTTGTTTTACTGTTTGCTCTTTCTTCATGTAGAAAGCCTTTTTGTTTTTCCGTGTCAATGGAATTATCGACCAGATCATTGTATATATGGAAGCAATTGCCATGAAGCAGAAGAAGAAGGAATCTTTATTCTTCATGGGAACAGAGGTGTTTATCACGATGATAAGCAACCGGCGTTTAGAGCTGTTTATGAAGCACTGAGAAATGTAAGATTTTTAAAAACATTTTATTTGAAAGTAATTTCAAGCTTCTGTTGGGTTTGCAAGGATAGCACATTTCCTAGAATTAGTGTAGAGAATTTCCGTGCATCTGTTACTTAGGCTCATCAGTTATTAACGTTTTGGACTATTTGCTTTGTCATTGGTTCTGTCTGTGTACAGTGTTTTTTTCTGAATCATGCAATTTAAATTGCATATGTCAAGCTTTTTTACCCCTAAAATCTTCAGTGTGTTTTGCTCAGGGCATTCTGTTGTTAACCATATCCAGCTCAGAAGATCTAAACCTGATGCTGACTTCAGTCCATCTTCCTTGTGCCCTCCCTGTCCTTTGACCTACAGCAGTTTCACAGCCTGTCCTTGTCTTTTATGACATTGCCATTTTGGGACCGTAGACACAGTCTTTTTTGAATTAGAATGTTCTTTCTTTTGGCTTGTCCCCTGTTCCCTTATGATTAGGTTTAGGATATACACACCTGGTCACAATGCTGTGTAGGTGGAAACATGTTCCTCTTGGGCTGTCACAGTCACCATGGTCTTTCTGTCCTCATTGCTGGTGTTGATTTTGATCACTTAGTGGAAATGGTTAATTTTTTCCTCAATGTATTTCCTCTCGTAAGCAGTCTATAAGGAGAATCTTGAAATAGTGTGCTTTTCAACAAAATTTCCCTACCAGACTTAGCATTCATTGTTAGTTCTTGTTCAAACCAGTCTTTACTGTGGTGTTTGCAAATTGATGATTGTCCAACTAGCATTCCTTCCACACACGTCATTTGCCATCAAGGAAGAGCCCACCCCCTCCCTCCCTTTGACCATTTATGGGTCTGTGTGTAATCAGTATGAATTCTCCGCTGAACATTTTCTCCCAATGACTTATACTATTCCCTTCTTTTGTTGTTGTTTTCTTTTCTTTTCTTTCTTTCTTTTTTTTTGAGACTGAGTCTTGCTCTGTTGTCACCCAGGCTAGAGTGCAGTTGCATCATCATAGCTCACTGCGTCAAAACTCCTGGGCTCAAGTGATCCTCCGGCCTTAGTCTCCCACATACCTGGGACTACAGGTGTGCGCTACCCATGCCTGGCTAGTTTTTCCTATCTTTTTTTTCAGAGATGGAGTCTTGCTCTCCCTCAGAATGGTCTCAAACTCCAAAGTGACCTCCCACCTCAGCCTCCCAAAGTGTTAGGATTTACAGGAGTGAGCCACCTTGACTGTCTCATTATTCCCTTCTAATTATGTTAATGCTAAAGTTGTTCTGGACTTGGCCATTGGGAGCCCCTTTGGCTACTTCTTTTGCCTTTTTGACATGCCCTTATCATTTTTTGAGTACCTCCCTATTTTCTGGCTAACAAAATATTCCAAGTGTATTTTATACTTTCTCTGAATTAGCCCTGAGATTAGTCATCTGTCAAAGGAGCTCTGGTTCCCTTTACTAGGCCTGGATGTTAGGCCTGTTTTTTGCTTCTAAGCGCTTTCAGTGGCCCAGGTAGGAAGTGTAAGCATGAGGGCAGACACACGGTATCTTGTGTTCATACTTGATGCCAGCCTGTTCCTCCAAGCCTCTTCCTTGCCTTTTTCTACTCAGCGTTTTATCGTCTTTCTTCCTCAGGATTCCTACTCTTAAAGGCAACACATTTCCTCATTTTCATAATGCTACAACACATTTAAAACAGTTTGAGAAATGTTCCATTCATACCATTACCTGCATTCCCTCTCCAACCTATTAAAAAGGGGTCAGGATTTGTTCCCATTTCCTCCTCCTCCCCTCCCCACCTCACCTCACCCCAGACCTCACCCCACGCTCAATACTGTGTTCAGAAGTTACTTCCCTTTCAGTGTGGTTATGTGTGTATCTGAAATACATTTAGGTACATTTATTTCAGCATACTTTTAGTTTCAGGGTTTGGGGTGTTTTTGTTTTTTTTTTTTTGACTCTCCTTGTTATAATTCATTTTCTTGATGTGTGGAATATTTTTATGGTATTTAAAACTATTTGTATATTTTTTTGGAGAGTGAATTTTCTTTGAAGTCTTTTACCTATTTCTGTAGGTTTTAAAAAAAATAACTGTATTGAGACATAATTTATCACAAGGTTCACCCATTTCAAGTATATAATTTGTTAGTTTTGTGCATTTGCAGAGTTGTACAGACATTACCGGGAGAGAGTTTTGGTCTTCCTTCTCCCTGTCCTCCTCTTAATTGTTAAAAATTCTTTGCACCTTAAGTATATTAGTCCTTTATCTGTGACAAATACAGTGAATATTTTCTTTCAGTTTGACTTTCTGTATAGCAATTTATGCTGTTCAGAGTTTATTTCAAAATTTTTGTAATCAAATTGATTAACTCTGCCCCTTTTTTAAAGTCACGTTTAGAAAGGTTTTTCCTATCTATACTCAAGTGATAACAATGGTTGTGGGGAATTCACCTACATGCTGTTTTATGTTATTTATTACAGTCAGACCTTTGTTCTATGTGGAATTTACTCATTTGTGTTGGGTATAAGGAATAGATACTATTCAATTCTTTTCCAAATGGTTATCCTCTTATCACAACACCATTTATTTAAAGCCTACCTTTAACTCAGAGACTTCAGATACTGATTTTATCATTTACCAAAATTCCATTTGTGATTTCTAGATTTTCAGTTGTGTTCTATTAGCCTACTTGTGCACTAATATCACCCTATTTTAATTATAAAGGACTCCTGCTATGCTTTAATATCTGGTAGGACTTATTTCCTCCTCATAGTTTGTCTTTTTCAGTATTTTCCTAGCTTTTATATATTTTTCCACAAGTATCAACATGTTTAACTCCATAAAGAAGCTTGTCAGTGTTTTTATTGGGAGTATATTAGCTTTGTATATTAATTTAGAGACTGCTGAAATTTAGCCATGGTGTCTCAGCACAAATGTAAAGACAGATCTTTCCATTTGTTTTACAGGAATGTTTTGTAGTTTTTTTCTTACAGGTTTTGAACATACCTTAAGTTTACACTTAAGTACTGTATCTTTTTTATTGCTTTCATAAATGGAGTTTTCTCTTTTGTTGTTGTTGTTGTTGTTGTTGTTGCAGTTTTTGGCGGGGCCTGGTTTGAACCCTCCAACTCTAGTATATGGAGCCGGCACCCTACTCCTTGAGCCACAGACCCTGCCCAGAGTTTTCTCTTTTAAGCATTTGCTTTATGAGCTTTTGGGGAAAAAAATTATACTGTTCTTCTCCTCTCCCTGATATCTATTCTCTGTTTTCTTCTCATTCTTATAAACTCCTTTTATGGAAGTAAGGTAGATTGATGGAGGAGAAGTATTTTATTAAATACTTTATATACCTCTTGATGGGTCCCTGAACCAAATCTGAACAAAGTGTTAGGGACACTTTGGGGCAAATCCAAGGCAGGTGTGAATTTATGCCATTATTTAATGAGCTATATCACTAGCAACATCCGCTAATTTACTGCTACAGAGGAAGAAATACATGTGACCGCTAAGTTCTCATGTCGATGTGCTTTTCTGTTCAGCTAGATTATGCTTAATCTTAGTGGGTAAAAACCAAACACATAAATAATAGAAGTGCTAGGCTGATTTAAGTGTGGGGGGTCAGGAGAAAAACTGATGACCCCTATCTGCTAAATCATTATTATTTGCTAGTGACTAAGAATCTCTGTTCTAGTATAGCCTCATTATTTGCAATGAGAGAGTACAAACACTTAACTGCAATCCATTGCGACAGAGACTGTACTCGAGCTATGAAGAGGGTATCAGTTTTGCCATGGAAGGCCTCCCTGAAGAGGAGGGCCTTAAAGAATGAGTCAGAGTTTGTTGGAGGCAGAGGGCAGTCTGAACCAAGAACTGCCTGGGAAAATGGTCCAGAAGCTGTGAAAACATCCATGGAGAGGCACTGGGCTGTTCAGTTTGACTGGAGTGATGGATGAGGTTGGCATGGGCTGGGATGGAGATGGATTTGGAGATGGTCTGGTCTATTAAGGTGATGATGTGCCATGAGAAGGAATTAAGTTTTCTCCTGGACATCAGTGTTTCTCAGACTTGGTGGTGAAGTGCCAATTGCATTGTAGGCTATAATTTTGGTGTATTATTTGCTAAGTTTCTTGTCCTATAAACTTGACAGATAAGGTTTCTAAATTGACAGTTTATCGTGATATATATGACTGTACTCACTGAAGAATTATAAAATTTACTGTTGATGTTCATTTTAATGTAGCAGGTCTTGTATGCCTTCAGAAATTAATATTGTATTTTAATAATGTTTTATTATGGGTTGTCAGAAGGTGATAAAAATGAAGAAAAGTACTTTTGGGGTTCTGAGTCTTTGCAGTGTAGAAAATAAATGCATTCCTATAAAAATGCTATTCTTTTGTTTCCTTCAAGCATTTAAAAAATCTGCTATTAGAGAATTAAATCTCCTTAATTTTATTTGATTTGTGATTTATAAATTCATACCTTTAAACATCTGAGTAATAGCTTTAAGTTAATTAATTTTACTTGATTTTTTGAACAACTGAATTTTAATGTAAATATTGAATTCATTTTTTGTGTGTTTTGGGGTCTGTTAATTACAGCTTATATATCCATTTCTCAAGTTAGTGAAGTTAATCATTCTGTTTTGATGCTCCTGGTTAGTGTTTTTAATCTTTCCTTATCTATAATTCAGTTAGAAGTATAATTTTTATAAAGAATTATATTCAGACAGGGGTATTTATGCAAGTTTCAGACAGAAGCTTAGTCATAGCCTTGGAATCTAGTGAATAATATGAATTAAAAAGGATGCAAACCATCTTTCACATGTAAACGCATGGTTATGTCTACCAGCAAATCCATTTGTATAGTCCGTGCATATGTGTTAAATAATACTTACTGAATGAATACAAATATTAAGTTTAAAAACTGCAAATTCAAAACCAGAACAAAACATTTTATGGCTCTGTATTTTCAGTTACGTGTATTTCATAGTGAGTTATATCTCTTGGTGTTTCTGTGTTAAC